ACAGAGCCCACTTGTGAGGCATTGAGAATGTTAAAAAAGAGGGGGAAATAGGAAAAAAAGGGGGGGGGGGGATTTGATTGTTAAGGGAGGCAATTCAAAAAATGGGCATGTCCAGAGTTGAGTTGCATTTTTATGTTAATTTTAAATATCCAGAAACCATGAGTTGTTTTGGTTCGGTACTATGGATATCGCAACACTTCGGCCTTGATTCCATAATATAGATACCGTATTTGAAATGTGGCTTTTCTGCCTACTTCCGTGTCTGAACCCGGACCACTAGGAGTTCGTGACCCGGTCGCCACGCAGTCAGATTTAACCAACTGAGCAAATTTCACTGGCTGCCTGAAGGAAACTCGATCTCTTGACAGTTTGCCCGCCTCCTGAACTTTCCTACCCAATAGCATATATGTATAACATACATCCTCAGCCTATCTTCGTGTTAGTCGGCTCCTGTCCCTCTCAAGGGGTGCCACGCCTTCTGTTATTTTCTTTCCCCAAACCGTCACGGTCCTTGATAATTTGATTTTCACTGGCACAAGAAAAGAGCAAGGATGAGAAAATCCGATTGCAGTGAATTTATAATCTCGACTAAGACTTTTTACTAATATCTTCTTCTTTTGTCAAAATCTGCTTGTGCCGCTAGGCGTCGCAGTCCATCAAATGATCGGCAACCGATCAGGGCGCGCTCAGTCGCTTCATATGCCGTGATGTTATGAAGTCTCAAGTTGTCTGTGACTCCTTCAATCCATCTGCTTCTTGGTCTTCCTCTGCCGGTTGGTGTTTCGATTTTCATGTTGTATGCTCTTTTTACTAATATACTTTTTACTAATTTCAGTCTCTGAGACAAGATGTTGTTTTCTATACAGGACAAATCCCCGTGAAATGACGTCGAACGTGTGGACGTCTACCTATTTAACCTTTAGTGGAAGAAGAATTGGAACTGTAATTGAGATTTCCAAATGCAGACAGATCCTGTGTTGTAGAGGAGTCAAGAGTATTTACATCTGGCGACATATTTTGAAAACCTCACAGCATCCATAAGTTGGCGGAGTGCAAAAAGGTCGATTCCGCGATAACCATTGTAATTGTTATACTATATTTTTTACACGGCATTTCAAACCGCTGTAAGTGGCGTTTAAAATTGTAAGTATTACCATAAGGAGAAAGATGGAAATAACAGATAATAGAATAATAAATTAAATATCTGGAACACCCGCATGATGAAAATAATTGGAATACTAAATAAAGCTTCAAAGGGAGTTTCACAAGAATAGATTAAGACAAAGGGCAGATTAGACCACATTGCGACAATGGGGAAGTTAAAGTGAAGGGAGCCAGAGGGAAACAAAGAGAAAACATGTTGCACAGACTCCTACTGTTCTTTCAGTCGAAATTACCTTTCTCTGAGATATTTTTCTTCTTCTTGTTCACCGGCTGTGAATTCCGGCAGTAAGTCACGGTTGTTCGTCCAAAATGGACTTTTGGCTTTTACCTTGACCTGAGTTTTGCGTGTACATCTCTGAGATATAACGCTGCACCTTTCATTTATAAAGCGGATGTGATACCAACTACGCTACACATTCACAAAAGATGAATGTGTATGTGTAGCGTAGTTGCTATAACAACCGCCTTATAAAAGAAAGATGCCTCGTTCAGTCTCTACGTTACTTCTTTCTTTGAGACTGCGTTCTATACCCCTATAACAGAGATACAGTCTGATCTGTCATAGAGTCCAGATCTCTAAGTCCACAATTTCACTCTCAGAGAATTGCCTTTTCTTATAGGCAGAGTAACTCTCTCTCTCTCTCTCTCTCTCTCTCTCTCTCTCTCTCTCTCTCTCTCTCTCTCTCTAGCGCGCGCGCTCTTGGAGGTACAGACCAAACTCGCTGTCTCAGAGGCAGAGTTCACTATAATATCACACTCCAAAGTACCTCTTTTAAAGACAAAACTCAAAATGTCTCCTTCAGACACGCCTTGAAGGCCTCTTTCAGACATAATGTCCGAAAAGCGTCACTCAGAGAAAATGTCCGAAATGCCTCTCTCAGACACAAAATCCTAAATTCCTCTGTCAGGGACACCACTCACATCGGTGACCGGGTCGCCATTGTCTCGCCGGTAGACGAGTTCGTCGCCGGACAGGAGAGTATTTGGGTCTTTGTCCTCTGATCGCATCACCACTGCTGGCGTTCTTTTCAGGGCTTTCGGTGCATACTTATACATTCATCTATTTTTAAAGCCCCTATTATTTTTTATTTTGCATTCCGCCCCTTATTATTATTATTATTATTTTTATTATTATTATTATTATTATTGCGCACTTAAACAGACCACCAGGGATTGAGAACCCTTATGATTTCTTTCTGTCGGCGCCCATGGTGTTACCATATTGATGCCGAGGACAATCAAAATAGCTGACAAAGACACCCGCCGCCCATGCATCAATCAAACCAGTGTTATTACGCGTCTCTGTTTTCACAAGATAGGTTATGCTCCTGACATATGCAACCAGCGCATAGTCAATTCGATGGCATTTCCCGTGCCACATAACAGCACAGGTTGAGAGATAAACCGAAGACATGTCTGATGCAAGGAACTGTCTTTTGTTTGACAGTTTTAAAACTGTATTACATTTTTTTTTATGAGAACGTTTTGTGTTGACGATGGATTGGAAGAACATCGACAGTTATTAACTTAAGCAGTCTAAAACTCAGCTGCAACTCTCTCGTCTGGAACCAAGCTGTAATTGTTTGTCTTGTCTAGAATCAGGTTGTAACTCCCTCTTGCCTAGAACCAAGTTTTAACACTCTTTTGTTTAGAACCAGGTTGTAACTTCTGTCTTGTTTAGACCCAGCTTGTAACTTCCTCTTGTTTAGACTGAGATTATACCTCCATCTTGTCTTGACCGAGGTTGTCTCTCCTTCTTGTCTGGAACGAGCTTGTATCTCCCTCTTGTCTAGACCCATCGTCTAACTCATTTTGTCTGGACCGATGTTGTAACTTCATATTGTCTTGACCGAGGTTGTCTTTCCCTCTTGTCCAGACCCAGTTTGTAACTCTTTTTTTTTTTTTTTTGTCTAGACCCAGCTAGTAACTCCCTCTTGTCTAGACCGAGGTTGTAATTCCATCTTGTCTAGACCGAGGTTGTAACTCCATCTTGTCTGGTCCGAGGTTGTAACTCCATCTTGTCTTGACCCAGTGAATAACACCCTCTTGAAAATACCCCAGGTTTTAGCGCTTTCTTGTTGAGACCCAGTTTGTAACTCCTCCCTGTTTTCATCCAGTGTGTAATCCCCTCATGCCTCGACCCAGATTGTAAATAACGCTGAGAGATGCAGGGTGGATGAGGCGATTACATCTCAACTAGGCTTACAAAACCATTCAGAATTAATCCTGCCCGGTTTAATCCATGTAGGTTACTCAACAGGAATGCTCTTAACATTTGCAAAATAGAAAATTGAGGATTATTTTCCAGTAACGAAATTCTGCTTGTTTTAACTGTTTAATTGCACATCGATTTTGAGGCCTTTGTTTGTTCTTAGCATCGTAACTCATTGTAAACAACAATGCGGCCCGTCTCTCTAGCGTAGTTGGCTAAACCGGATTGCGCGGTAAGCGGGTGACGAACTCCTTGTGGTCCGGTTTCACTCCCGGGGGTGGGCAGAAAAGCCACATTTTCTCCCAGATTTACGGTATTTAAAATGGAACCAAGGCCGAAAGGTTGCGATATCTATAATTCCGAGCCTAAGGGTTAATAACTCATGGCTTCTGGATACTAAAACAAACAAACAAACAAACAAACAAACGACAATGCTAGCTTATCAGTTAGAGCAGGGGTGCTTACACATCGAAACTTTAGGGAGGACAGCCCCCACCCCCATGCACTTTCCAGGGACGAGGGGAACGCTAAGGAGTCTTAGCCTTGTTTAAGGGATAGTAGTAATAATAAATTCACATCCAACAATTTAATAATAGTTGTAGAGGGAGCTCTTGGGGGGGGGGGGGGGTCTAAGCCTTGTTTAAGTGACAGTAATAATAATACTTATAATAATAATGAATTCACACCCACCACCATAATAATGGTAAAGCAAACGGTCAAGAGGGAAAAGCCTTCTTTAAATGATAGTAGTAATAATAATTGTAACAATCCACTCCCACCGCCTAATAGCTGTTGTGGGGGCCTCAAGGCGATTAAGCCTTGTTTAAATGATAGAAGTAATAAAAAAATCCATCCACAACGACATTAGTCGATATACATAAACAACTTAATTCATAAACAGCTTCAGTTCAGCGACGTAACTGAAATGCAGATGGCCAAGGCTGGGGACAGTATTGCTGGGTGGTTACGGTGAAGAAACTAGTTCAAACCTTGCTTAAGGGTGAATTTATGTACAGTGGGTTAACTGGGAAGTTTCCTGTTCAGCGAACGTTCTTGTTTTTCTTCTCGTGGTTTTTCTGGTGATCTCCTTGACGAAGCAATCAAGTCGAGGTCTAGCTCTCCGAAGGTAAAGAGTTCGCTTCACGGACTCGTCGTTTAGCTACGTGTGTGATTTTTATGGAGATCCATGGGGAATATCACTGGAGCTACGGGGTTCGTTCTTTGAGTAACGCTCTTAAGAAGTGGCTAATAGCTCTGTGAAGAGAGACTGAGCTATAACCCTGGTGCAAGGAAGTTGATGCAGTCGACTTTAACTGTGTTGCTTTTTCCTTTAATATCTTTGTAGGTTTATGTTTGTGTATCCACGCATGCTTGCTTTGTAAATCATGTCCTTGATCTAGCCTGTTTATTCCTCCCTCACCCCACCCTCTCCACACATTATTTTGTTTTCCTTAAATCTCCTTGATTATTCTTTTTATCTTTACCTGTGTGACTAACCAGTAATAAACTTCGATTCTGGGTTATTGTTAGAAAGTCTTCTTTGTTCCCTTATATTTTCTAGAACGTGTTTATTTATCACTAGGAGTCCCCCCACTCCGTCCGATTACAATCAGTTGTTAGTGAGCACATCTCTAATACCCCGTATACCAGAGGCGCCGATATCACAAGCCGAGACACCTTTAGACCCGTGACTCCCCCTTCCCCCATCCTCCCATACCCCTTTCCGTCTCCCTTCTTTCTTCCTAGTCCCGACCAACAAACACTATTTAAAAGAGGCGGGGTGCCTCATTCACTTCCTAAATGTGTCATGGAGCTGAGCTTGCCCTTCTAACACCCACAAAATATGTATTGAGGTTTTCTTTTTTAAGATTTGAATTTTCCATATCACAGTATTTACAATATTTTGATATATTTATTAACTATTGAGCATTATTATTATTACGCACTTTCCCTTTGCCCCATTCCTCGTAGTAAATGTTCAATGGTGTTGAGCTGCCGATTGTTTTATATGATCAGCGCTCTTTCTGTTTGTGTTGTTTTTCCCCTATCACACTTTTTCATTGTCCGTCTCCGAAATCCATTTAATCCGAGCTTCCTGATGTACTTACAGTGGATTCGTTTCTGCGAATCAAATTGTATTCTTATGGTTGTCTTTGTGATTGTTATTCCTTCTTTCTGTCATCTGTACACGTAATGACAGTATTCGCGAACAAAGAGACAATAGCCGCCTTTGTGTTGTGAGCCAACTGCCAGTGACTGTCGCACAAAAGTGTACCGTTCACAACTTACGGTGACGCCCGGTTCAGTAAGCAAAATCCCGGTGATTTTCGCAATTAACAGTGAGCTAAAAGACTGACATGGTTCATCTGTGTTAAAAATTTAGGATGACGCCAGTATCAGTGAGCAAATTCGGTTGACGCCGGTATCTGTGTAGCTAAATTCGGACGGTATCAGTGAGCTAAATTCGGTGACGCCGGTATCAGTTAGCTAAACTAAATTCCGGTGATGCCGGTTCTGTGAAAATTCCGGTGACGCCGGTATCTGTGAGCTAAATTCCGGTGACGCCGGAGCTATCAGTGACGCTAAATTCCGGTGACGTGCCGGTATCTGTGAGCTAAATTCCGTGACGACGCCGGTATCTGTGAGCTAAATTCCGGTGACGCCGGTATCAGTGAGCTAAATTCCGGTGACGCCGGTATCAGTTAGCTAAATTCCGGTGACGCCTGTGAGCTAATCTCCGGGTGACGCTAAATTCCGGTAAAGCTAAATTCCGGTGACGCCGGTATCAGTTAGCTAAATTCCGGTGACGCCGGTATCTGTGAGCTAAATTCCGGTGACGCCGGTATCTGTGAGCTAAATTCCGGTGACGCCGGTATCTGTGAGCTAAATTCCGGTGACGCCGGTATCAGTGAGCTAAATTCCGGTGACGCTGGTATCATTGAACTAAATTCCGGTGATGCCGGTATCAGTGAGCTAAATTCCGGTGACGCTGGTATCTGTGAGCTAAATTCCGGTGACGCCGGTATCTGTGAGCTAAATTCCGGTGACGCCGGTATCAGTGAGCTAAATTCCGGTGACGCCGGTATCAGTGAGCTAAATTCCGGGGATGCTCAACAACATGGAGATGGAAATACCAAGAGTCATTCTCATTATCACCATCATCCTATCATCGTCATTATTTCAGTTCAAGTCACTTGATACTTCACTTCCCTTCTCAGAGTTTGTAGTCTTTCAGAGTAACAGTCTTTGAGTCTCACTCAATTAGGTTAATACAATGTAGTATCCAAGAAAGGTGGCTGGATACACATACCAGATTCTCTCCTCAAGACTCGCTTCATCCCCTCTCTAGAGAGGAACAGTGTATTATATTCGGACTAAGGACAGTTCGTCAACATATGTTCAAACGCTTCGGTGTAGGAAACACGGAGACGTGTCCCTGCAGTGTGGTACCCAATATTACTGAGCATGTGCTCCAACACTGTCAACTGAATGCTGACAACAGATACACAGTCTGGCCCGTTCCAATCACTGTAAACCATGACTTCTCTAGTTAGTAAAATTACCTCAAGGTCTGCATACCCAGTGCCACGCCCGTGACATTTCTGTTGCAGTCACGTCTAGAAAGCTGCACAAATGGTCGATAGTTCCATTGCATTCATGTGCTGTTCTCTAGGTTTTTTTAAACAGTCATTGCATCTCACAGAACAACGATTAAGTCACAAAACAACACAACACTACTTCTTAACTGACGTCCTCTTGGCATTTTCACTGTTCGAAATGTTTCGGCATTTGATTTTAACGATTTTTTTTTTAACCAGCGGTTCTTTTTCTGTTTTAGTTTTCCTGTGTGGGTTTCCGGAGCCCCACTGTGGGCAAAATAAAAATAGATGCACTGCCTCCTCCAACAAGGGTGTCGTAGGAGTCTATTAACTGGGAGCTTCCTTCCAAATCGGTGTGCTATTGCCCGAAGCGGCAGAGAACAACTAAATGCACACAAATAAGTCAGTAAAACGGATGTGCACGCTGCAATACTCAGGTTGTCGAACAAGACTAAAGTTTGGAGGTGGACGAACACCCAGAACTTTTCGCTGCTGAGTTTCCAGCCGATTAGCGCGAAAAAGACTGAAGACACAAAAAGTGATACAGTATGTACTAAACCACTTAAGAAGACTTGGTTGTAGGGAAAGGGCGTTTATCTCTCCCTAAAAATTTCCCGGTCTCCTCAGAAATCTCTATTTTCGGCGATCCTTATTGAAAGTAATTATATTAATGAGCACGGGCCGAATTCAGATGCTGAACTTGATGGTAAAACATCTCAGATGTCTCTCTCTCTTTTCCTCTTTGTTTGAAAGGGCAGAATTGAGGACGGGCCTGCGTGCCCAATTTATGACCCGTTGAAAAAAAAACCTCGTTGGTTCATTCGTTCGTTCCGCCCTCTTCTCCCCCTCTCCCCCCCTCTCTCTCTCTTTCTCTGTGGTGTGTGTATGCGTGTGTCTTGCCACTAGTTCAGTCCATGCCTCTCTCTGTGTCTCTCTCTTACGGCCAGTTAAACCCTTGCCTCTCTCTGTATCTCTCTTACCGCCAGTTAAATCCATGCCTCTCTCTCTCTCTCTCTTGTCGCCGGTTAAACTCATGCCTCTCTTCCTGTTTCTCTCTTGCCGCCAGTTAAACTCATGCCTCTCTCTATGTGTCTCTCTCTCACTCTCTCTTGACGTGAGTTTAACCCATGCCATCGAGTCAGGGAAGTCCTTTCAAATAACGTGTTGGTTCTGTTTCAGCTGGCGCAGCTGCTGCCCATGGAGGAGAATTTCTTGTTGCTGTTTCGACGTGAACATCCTCTGGAGTCTAGTGTGGAGTTCATGAAGGTAGGTTTGTTCTTGTTATGAGTTATGGTAAGTGAAGTCAAGGACCCATATTCCCCGCCCTTATTCGTACTGGGCATTTAGGGCTAGACCTATCTATTTCATAGACCAATTGGTATATGGTTGGGGATGTGGTAAGCATCAAGCCGGCTGCCTTTACTTACCAGGACTTGTACCTGGTACCCACCTAGGTCGACTCGAACCCACTACCTTCTGAGCCGCATGGGAGCGTCTAGCCACTACACCACGGAGGCTCCTTTAAGTTTTGAGTTATGTAATATTTTCACAGCAGTCTGAACAGGTCCATATGTAATAAGATTCCGCCTTCAACATATGCTTCCGCGTTCTGCTGTAAATAGTGCCAGTCCTATGCTGTTTAACAAGACTTTTTGTAGGTCTGATGCGCCTCTCTTGCCTGGCTGTGACAATCTTTAGTCCCACTTCTGGAATTTGTAGCAGTGATGATGCTCCAAAATTAATCCGATCGCCTTATCTCTCTAAGTGCGTCAACACTATCGGAGCCATCCATAGACTGGCCATCTACAACTCAAGAAGAACTGTCCAATCCATCACGTTTCATTGCCGAAAACACCCTCATGACATAGGACGAAGAAGACATCCCCCGTAAGTTAGGATTTGTTTTCGTAGAAATCAATGTATCTTTCTTTGTTATTCTGTGTGATTCTGTGTCTGTCTTAGGGTTGTTATGCATGCCTTTCTCTGTATCTCTGTTTATCTGTAATTCTGTCTATCTGTTTTTTTTTTCTCCTGCATACCTTACGTTACCTTGGACGGCCAGAGTAACTAACCACGATTTCTTGAAAGAAACTAATGAAAGAATATCTCTATATGCAACAATAAGAAAGAGACAAACAGTGTTCTGTGGCCAAATAATGAGAAGAAAAACATTGGAGAAAATCGGGAAAACTGGAAAGATCACTGGAAAGAGGTGTAGAGGCAGACCAAGAGACATGATGCTGGATGGACTGAAACGATGGCATGAAGGGATATCATCAAGAGAGCTGTTCCAGGCAATCATGGATCGTGATCTGTGGAGACACATGAGCGCCAACGCCAACTGACAGGGCACATGATGAGGATGATGATACCTTACGTAATAGATTAAAAACACGCAGAGTAGTGTGTAAGAGATTATCTTAGTATCTTAGAAACTTAGTATTTAAAGCATCTTAGCTGTCTAAAAGATTCGCCTAATGAGTCAGTTTAAACCATTACTCTACAATTGCAGAAGTGGCGGAAATATGACGAGGACCATAGCGGATATATCGAAGCTGATGAACTAAAGGTAGGTTCTGAATAACTATTCGTTTTGTACTCTTGTTAACGGGCATCAAACTGTCAATACTGGTGTAGGTATGGTGGAGGAGTAGGTGGCTGAACAATTAGAGAATGCTAAGCTTCCGTGCGAATCATCGGCAAGGTTATAGCTGTGGTGGTTTTTTTTTCCTACAGTAGGTAGAAAAACTAAAATGCTAATCTGCAAAGTCCGTGGAGACAACACTAGCCATGCGACCCTAAACCTCTGGCTCAACGCCCCCTATTCTCCTTTTAGTCCCTGACTACACAGCTAAACTGGTAAATGGGGGGGGGGGAGGGGGGGGGGAGTGTAGTGGCAGTCATGTTGCCTGGCATAGAGGTGTGTCGGCACACGAACTGATATATGCTGCCGGAGATAGTGGATTATAGAGAGGCATGATCACCCACTCCAGTCGGCAAGGCACCTGATGATGATGATGAATGGCAGTCAGCCGTAGGTAATGCGATCTTGAATCTACGAGTTATATCAGGGGTGCGGCATACCCAGTCGCTGAGTTGTCAGTCAGAACTGATGCAGTTTAGCGTGATTCAATATGGTGGCTGTGAGTGATCAAGGAATTATGTAAGTCACACAGACACACACACACACACACACACACACATACAGACACACACAGACACACACAGACAG